TTGGGGGGGGGGGGGGGGTTAATGTAGCCCATGCAGTTTATTTACAGTTGTTTTCCAATGTGTTATTATGGGCACAGTCAGGGCTTGACACCACGCTCTTCTGGGGCGTGCACCAGTTCACATAGGCTACTCCTGTGTAGGGTTTCCAGCGAGCATGGAGGCAGCGAAAGCGTACATGGGATACATGCAGAAAAACATCCTGGTGCTAAATTCTGATTATTCTCATAGTTATCTAGAAGGGCTCATTAATTAAGCTGCAAATTGATTGCAAGAATGAATGTCTGAGGGCCTGATCGTTTGATCAAGTGTTACTCACTATGCTACCACTAGTGCTTCCCAGTGCAATTTCTGGGTGAATAAGAATAATCTGTATTCTAGGAGGTGCTCTGTGCCAAGGACACTTGCTACGCCAGACTTCGCTCCGTAGCTGAGCTGTCATAATGATTACTTTCCATCACAGATCCAGGTTCTTTTCTCCATGAAGCACAGACTCGTATTTGATGTCCTTATCTATTCAAAGCGAGCACTAATTTCTAAGTAGGACAAACTCAAGTGTGATTTTCTTGTCTGCTGTTTGTATCTCGTAAACGGTAACATGGCACAAACAAGCAGCTTCTGTGAGTACAGTCATTAATGCCACTGTAACTTTCCTCTAGAGATGGAAGGAGGAGTTGTCCCTTCTTAAGAGACCCAGTGTGCCAACCGGAAGCAGCTGTTCTGACCCAGACCATCCCACTGCCACCAGCACAACAAGCCCCAGCATGTCCAAAAAACACAACGAGCCAGACCTGGACTTGGACTACGACTTCATTCTCTCTAACTCCATTCTGCAGCAGCAGCAACAGCAGCAACAGCAACAACAGCAGGAGGAGGCCATGGCATGCAGCTCTGCCCAGGCCCTGTCTCCTTCCCCGGGCTCTTTCTCCTCATCTTACCCTCTCCCCTCCCCTCAGGGCACTGCCAGCGAGCTGCTCTATACCATCCCAGATATCAGTGACGTCTCGCCCTCTGGAGGCTTTGTGGCAGAGCTCATGAGGCCCGAGTTGGACCCGGCGTACCTCCACCCCACCAGCCTCCACGGCAAGTTCGTGGTCAAGACAACAATGGACATGGGAGAATACAGCCAAGGCGTGAGCGTAAGCAAGGCCTGCGTTAACGCAGCGTCAGACCCTACTCCTTCACGTGCCTCACCTTCCTTTACATGCCACAGGATAAAGCAGGAGAACCCCAGTAACTGCACCATCTCGCAGCCCATCGACCTACACCTGACTGGGGTGAACTCCCAGGGCCGAGGGAGCCAGCAACAGCGCCCCGGCCACTTAGACCTACACGGCTTTCCTGGTGGAGGGAGGCCCATGACAGGCGGCAGGTTATCGTCGTCCTCCTCCCTCTCCCCGGACCATCCTCTGAGCCGGGAGCACCAGGTCCTGGGGCATCCCCACTCTCAGATCACTCTACCTCCCCAGGGATACCACCATACCTCCCCGCAGGGCTACTCCTCCTACCCTCAGCCATCCTCCATGCAGTACCAAGGTTAGAGCACATTTCTTTTTCTCATTATAATGGCTACTGAATGCTGTAGCTGAAGTGTGGATTTAACATTTTGTTAGTCATAGGGAACAAGTACATACATGCAAAAACGACTAACACAGAGTAGATTAGACAACAGAAATACAGAGTCTATTTAAATACATCTTATACAACGTTAAGGGCTTTAATTATACCCCCAAAACCAGTTGTTCAAAGGGATTGAAACCTACATCCCATGGCCTTGGACAAACCTTCTTTTCCTCATAAAGTTCTTTACCCAGCCAAAATAGATATGACATTGCCAGATGTTTAACAAAATATAGTTATTTTGTTGTTTTCATAGGATGAGCGTTCAATGTTCATCGCTGTGCCCCTTTGTGTTAACTTTTTATGTTACAGTACTTTGAGGTTCTTTGAGAATTTGGCTTTTTTTTAAAAGTTTTTTAAAATGGAAACTGATATTTTCTATTGCATCTTAAAGTTCATTACAGAAAAAAACATATTTCTGAATGATTATGGACATTCTGCAGCTGCTACAGTACATCAACATAAATGTCAGAATTGATTGTGCACTCTTTAGTTGAGCTCCAAAATACAATATAATTAAGTCTAAGTATGAGAACATGTGACCTTATTACTCCGTGTTATATCTGATACATTTATACATTGAATATTTTCTCTGTAAACATGACGATGACCAAGATATTTTGACCCCCACAGAGCCCCTCATGATCTCCAGTGGGGACTGCTTGCCGGAAGAACCAAAGCCTAAACGTGGTCGGCGCTCCTGGCCGAGAAAGAGAGTTGCCACACACACGTGTGACTATGTTGGCTGTGGGAAAACTTACACAAAGAGCTCCCACCTCAAAGCACATCACCGCACGCACACAGGTATGTAACTGTATGTTAGATGGTCTTTTCAGTGGTTTTTTTTAGCTATTGTTTTTTTTGCTATTTCTATCTGGTTGAAATTAAATGTCACCTGCAGGTAGCAGGAAGCATATTTTTGCCGGCTATTAAACACTGTTTAACACAGTTCTTTCATGCTGTTTTCATTGTTCAGAGCAAATTACTATCCTAAACGTCTGTTGCACATTATGTGCAAACACTGAATTATTGAGTCATGAATGGGGGTTAGATGTGTGGGGGGTGGGGGTAGAGGAGTTGTCTGGCAGGTGTGGTGAAACAGGTTGATACTGATCCCTGCTCAAATACAAACCTCAGGCTGATTAGCTTAGCCTTTATACACTAGCTGCAGGACAGGACGGACCTCTTTTCTCCTCAAGGTGGAAAAGGTTGGGCCAGTTTAACCTCCGGGCCGGCACTAACTGCTCCATGTGTGTGTATTGTGTTTCCATCAAAGGGGAGAAGCCTTACCACTGTGACTGGGAGGGCTGCGGTTGGAAGTTTGCACGTTCGGACGAGCTCACACGCCACTACAGGAAACACACAGGGCACCGGCCATTTCAGTGTCAGAAATGTGACCGGGCCTTTTCGAGGTCAGACCACCTTGCTCTCCATATGAAGAGACACTTATGAGACTTAAGGCGATGGAATGAAGGCTCCAGGCAAAAGATGTTAGTGGAACCCTGAACAAACTTTTTTTAAAACCATAATTTGCCTTCAGGCCGTTGTCAAGCAACAAGACAAGCTGTGGTGTTCATGGCAGAAAAAGAGCATTACTCCCTCAAGAGCCTAGAATATCTCTCGAGGCCGATCCCGTCTTCGCACATTGTGCAGGTGACTTGACAAGACCTCTCAGTCAGGGTTGTAAACTTTTATGAAAGGGACCAAACTGGAATTTGTCTTATTTAACCGACAAAACTTGGAGGACCAGGTGCCAACAGCTTTTAACTGGAAATGTATTTCTGTCAGGGAAACCAGGAGCAACAGACAAACATCTCCAGAGGATTTCTACCAGCAACATGCCAATATAGGCTCTGTTAACAACTACACACTGTTCAAAATACTGTATTAATAAATACATTTATATTTATATACACATTTCACCTGCAATGCCATTAAATTCAGGTACAATGTTAATTTATACAGAATGGTGCTCAGTGACTTTGAAGAAGGTTTTTTTTTTTTTGTTTAAGAAAAGGTACCAAAGATTAAGGGAAACATACAAAAGGGTGAAAACTATGGAAAAGTGCCATTTGGTTGTTTGTGTGAAACCTCTCTTCCACAATTGGACTTAAATCAGGTGAACACTTCACTTATAAGTGGTGATGGCAATCTTCGATGCACTGCAGCTGCAAAGTGCAATAATTTATATGAGACATTCATATTTTTGTATTGAATGAGTGAACTCTGAACAAAGATTTTTTTGTTTATAGCCAAAATATGTAATATAATCTGAAATTTTGTACATTTGTGAATAAAAATGCTTTGTTATTGTTTTGTATTTTACAGTATAATAAAATAAAATGTATTTGAAATAAGAAAACCATAATGACCTTTATACTCGCATACCCTTACCTTCATTATCATCATTATCTTATCGAAACAAATCAAGAAAACCTGTTGACACCATAAAGTAAACATCACTAATTGCATAAAAAAAATGACATTGCATGTTGAGAAGCGTTTCCTTGAACATCCGCAGTTACAGTAATTGTAGATTACCCTGATAGTGTAATGGAGAAGCACATTTAAATGGAAGCAATAGCTCACAGTCAGCTCACACACAATATCCCCCCAGATAATAGTGAGATCGCCGCAGGCAAGCTAACACAATGTTGTAGTTAAAAAGATTCCCAAAAAAATACACTCCTACAATGTCCTGTTTCCATGGGGTTCTTTTTCCACTTGTCAGTAGGAAGAATGGGGAGGACAACTGAGTTACTGGCTGACATTCAAGGGTGACACCAAATCTGAAACTCTCAGGCGCACAATATAAATAAAACGCATAAAGATGCTACACTGAGATAGTGTCTTGATGTGTTTTTGCTATGTGGTTATGCATCATTCTATGTGGTTTATGTATGTAATGTATGCAGGTATATATGGATTTTAAAAACACAAATCTTATCTGTGTGTTGTGACAGCAACAGTATAAACTAAAATTACACACAATAATTCTGCCATACGCTTAGTGTCCGCTCACCAAATGCCTGTGACTTATACAACACTGAAAACAACCCTAAATACGATTAATATTGGTGTTAAAAGAAATGTTTTTTCACTCGCAAAATTCTTAACAGTAAATATTGTAAAGCTGTTTTAAAACTTAGAGGTCATGATTGTAGTTTAAATTGATCTAAGACTGAGCACATGATTTACAAATGAACACTTATTAATATGAACTATGAGAGTTCAAGTTCATTAGTTTATATGTTGCAACAATTACTTAGTACACAGAAAAAAAAATTAAAAGCATGCCTCTTATATTTACTCAATTAATGGTATACAAATCACATATTTATGCTGGTAAATACAACTTGGTGTTGAATTCGGAAACATGTTGTGGTCTATGTTGCCCCCTATAGGTCAATCTAAGCACACTCAGGGCTCTTGTCTTTCTACTTGAGCATTATGGGAACGTGCCTTTTAAAAGTAATTTTACATTTTGCAGTTCACCAACAAGCGTGAGGTAACCTTTAAATTATTAGAATATTTTTGTTTTGTTTTTCAATTCAATTGACCCTGGTCACATTTCCATGTTCATTGCAGTTATTTGCCTTTTTTTGTTGCCCTGTAATTCAGGGGTGATGTATCAGACGTCGTCAGATATTTTGGATCTATTGGACTTATTGGATTTTCTCTGAAAAAAAGGCAACATTTACCAATAAATTGGGACATGGATCAACTGGTAATGTAGAAAAAATTAATCAGTTAAGTCACAGCCTACGTTTAGATGTGTGCAGTAACATTACATGCAAACACAGTAGAATAGGCACAGCTTTCATTTTATTTTGAAAACTTTATTTTTCTGTAAAAATTTACAGACATTGCAACTAAACCTTATCACATGTATGTTAACTATATACATGTTAAAATGCCTTCACTTAAGAATTACAATTCATACTCCTGTCTATAATCCTGTTGGTTTACATGCAGATGAGGGACAGAAAAAGAACCAGTGCCATACATGTTGCTTGTTTTATATGCACAACTTTAATTTTGTTTTTATATCTCCATTACTTAACAGAACAATAAGAGTGCATGAATACTGTCATAACTTTCAGATCTAGCCTGAACTAAACTTATTTATAACGTGATACGTAATGCCATTGCAAACAATATTGATTTTCCTTACTTTAAAAAAATCATAAGTCTTAACCAAAGTATTTAAAAAATCAATAGCACACAGGTGATTTCTGATGCAAAGTTACTGTACTTTAATTGTTCCTCCATTTCAAACTGGTCACAAAAAACAGCCTGCCGTTGCACACCAGCTGATATTGATCCAGTGATATTAAGAAAGGTGAATGTGGAAGTAGTGAATAAAACTTTTTTTTGGAAATGTAAAAGGCTTGTTTTACACATATATTCAATACGAGCAATCAAAAGTAGAGGAAGAAATAAGAAAAGAAAAAAAAAACAGTCAAAATGCAGATGGCTCTTCTAATCGTCATCAAAGTTCTGTTGTAAAAGGAAGTTGGCAGCCAAGTTCTCGTTCTTCTCACAAGCAAAGTAGGCTTGTATAACAAGTCCCTCTGGAAATCCTAAGGCTTTTAGCTGGAATAAGAGCAAGAAGAGTTGCAAATTAGCCAAACAATAAACAAATGACAATCTGTGTTTAATGTTTACCAGTATGTGAAAGATAACAAATTAAAGTGAGGATTTTAGCAACATCAGCAGAGTTGCGTGTCACATTCCAGCACGTGTGAACTTTAGACTGAAGGAAAGTTGGTGACAACCTTGTGCTCATCCTCACCCTCTCAATGGCCTCTTTCTCCTGTGGCGTGACCTGGATGTAGCTCATGTGACTCCCACCGGGTGTATCACCTGCCATCCCTCCGGCTCCCCCTGCCCCTCCCGCTCCACCTCCGCCACCTACCGGCACTGCCTCTGGATTGGGTTCATTCAGCATCTGGATGAACTGCTCTTGGTGGTTGCTTATCTCCTACAGTGGTAGATGTACAAGTAAGTAAGGTATGACTGCTCACTGTTACTTGGCACTTATAGTTCTTAAGTAGTTTCAATAAAGGAGAGGACTCACAAGAGACACATTTAAAAGGGAATGGTCAAAATCTTTGAGTCTCCAGTATTGGTCAAACTCCAAAACACTGGAGCCATCAATTCCCATAATCCCTCAAACTCAATACACCAGACCGGCACATACAAATACTTCGCAAAACCCAACACAGTGGCCAGATATTGTTATCCGGAAATCTATACACATTTCATTGAATCACCAGGTTTGGGCTAAGTATATCTGTTTAATATAGAGATTTAGTTTGACACCAGTGATTTTTATTGACTGCTATACTGTATGACTACTCCAGCAGCCTCCCACTCAAGCCAGCTATCCATCAGTAGAAACTGTCACCAGCACCATTTGGCTATTTACAACCCTGACAGTGAATATTCATGTATCTTTATGTACCTCAAATCTCACTGTAATAGAGTTGGTTATTAATATGGCTGCTTCTAGCTTCTTATCGGCATAATTTAAACGACAGAAGCTAATTCATATTTATTGTCATCAAAAAGGAATTTATACTGCTGCCCAAATAAAGAATTACCATTCTCTGGAGGCTCATACATTCTGACTGCTCTCCTTTTGGGATCCCTTTCCTTTCCAGGAAGGATGGGATCTGCATCTGTTTTACAACCCACCACACAACAGCTTTTTCTGCATTTTTCTGTTTCTCTCGTTATCTGAAAGCGCAATTCTTTCCCCCAAAAGTCGGGCAATAACTTGTGCTGATGAGACTCCGGTCTGGTCTATAGGGTTTTTCATTGAACATCCTGCCTCCTAAATCCCTTGTCATTCAAACCCCACACCTCCACTCTGTAACGCAGGCTTGTTAAAACTTTTAAGTCCATAAGAGAAAAACTTGGGATTACAAAACTGTAAAACTAAGCTTCATGTGTAAAATCAGTGTAGTGCCTCTTTAAGTGAACTGTGACTACAATGCTTAAACCATGAACCTATATCTATACTGACTCCGAGTACCCGCCACCCCAACACATTCACACTTACTGCAACACTCTTGTCACTTAAAACAGATCAAGCTCCGTCAGTACTTCACCTGCAGCAGCTCTGGGTTTTCCCTGCCGATCTCCTGCAGCAGGGCAGGAAGTAGGGCGGCATTTTGCTGAATCAGCTGTCGCATCACTTGGAACTGGGGCTGATTTCTTAGGAAACTCAAGGGGTTACCTGAAAGGGTAAAGTGTGAGTCAGAAAGTCACAGGAGGATATTTAATAGAAACAAATATTTCCTCATTTAGGCTACTGGCATATGCAGAATAGGCCACTTACCTCCCCCAGCACTTGATGAAGAGCCAGTGCTGGTGGGAACAATAATACCACTTGTGGGTGCAGCAGGAAGGGGAGCTCCACTCACTGGGGGCGCCACCGCATCAGGTCCTGTTGCATCTCTGCCTGGAATACCCTGAAAAGGAAGGTCATGAAACATCATGAAACACACAAAATAACACACTTATAATATATAACAGACTCATGATTAGTTTTAAGACTGTGGGTTACATCATGTCATGTACATATTGTACATATATGATTCTGATTTATCAGGGAGCAACTGGAAGAGGTAATGATTTAGGTAGAGGTAGAAGATTTGTATAACCGTGTCATGAATGTTTATGTCAAGACACAAATTAAGTAGTCAGTAAACCAAACATTCCTACATATTAACACATTCCAAAGGCACAGTAAAGGATAAATGTACAGGATCTAGACCTGAGCAGGGACACAAAGCTCTGTGATTGCTTAATACCACACTGAGGTACAACCTATCATGTGTTATGTACCAAGGTGTAGCAGTTCTTACTGTGAGCAGGTACTCCACAGCTCTGTCTGGGTTGTTGAAACTCGCTCTCAGAGCTGCTACCACCTGCTCCCTCTCGTAGCCCATGAGCATCATCTCGTTCACCATGGCGTCATAAGATGGGCCTGTCACTAAAGGATCACACAAACACCAAGTGTACTATGAGTACAGGGAAGAGCTTCATAATGGGTCAACTTAACGTTAAGTACAGCACTGTGACTGGCTGCATTTTAAAGCCATTTCAGAAAATTAAGAACTCTAACCCAATCACTATTAATGGCAATTAAAATTATTAGTAATTTACTTAAAAACATGGGTGGCAAGCAGAATACGTGCTGCTCACGTTTTTATGGTTGCATAACACAGAAAACAAATTGAATACTAGACAGTAGAATGAACATAATGTTTAAGTTGAGCATAACTTTATATTACAGAGGAAAAAATTTTAGGAGATGGCATAAAGATCACATTCTCCAGTGTCCCATAAAAATAAACAATCTGCCTGAAGCACTGCAAATTCACATCAATGGCTTCATGAGCCATAATAAGACCTACAGGATTTGCTCTGAGCAAAGCAATATTTGCAAAGCTCAGAGCATGTGGCCATGGGGAACTGTGGGATTATATTTTGGCCGAACCACAGTATCTTGCTGCTTATTAATCAAGATACATCAATGCCAGCATGCTATGGATATCCACAACCTTGACTCACACTTGGGCCCACAGATTTATTGCGCATACATAAGATGCAGCTTAAAAGGTATTAAGGATTAAAGGAATTTTCGCACAAATGCCATCCAAACGATGGCCGGCAAACTACGCTATCCTTACCTAGAGTTGAAACTGCCTCATCAATTAGGTTTGTGTTTGTTGAGGCCTCTGAGCTTCTGCAAGAGAAAACAGACTTTGGGTGAGGCGTGACCTGCACATCGCTTCTCAAAGCAAGACGCACCGAAAGCAGAAAGACAGTTAAGGACAAACATCTACCCATCTTTACCCGACAGGGGTGGTAGCTGGCTCAGCAGTCGAGGACCGCCTCTCCTCTGGTTTGTCGTCTGTGGAGACGCGCTCTGTGGTGTTTTCCGAGCTGGATGATGCGGCAGGGGGTGCTACGGGAGCTGTAGTACTGGGAGCTGAGGTGGCAGGTGAAGGCTGTGAGGCTGCTGAGGCCGTTTTAGCCTGCGATACGAGTTTTGAAACATAAAAATATTTTACTTCTCTGATATTACTTTGTCACAATGAGTCAGTTGCTTGTAAGTTGTCATCAAAATGTTATATTTTAGGCAATCTTTGTATTTGACTTGTCTTGGCTATCATGGACTCAAACGCGTATAATGTAGCTAGATTAAGCTTTCTTCCAGATATTCCAGATATTATGATTGTCCAATTGAGTTTGCTACCGGTTAGGGTTGTCCAAATCATGTTTTTTGCCCCAAAAATATCTTTTAATATTGTGCATCAACAGATACAGAAAAATTAGTGAAGCTATTTAAATATGTGACCTCTGAACAGCTCCACATGAAGAAAATATTACCTAATCATAGTTTCCTACACGGTCCTATAGTATGTCTTATTACATTTTTTGTGTACGTTGTTACAGCAGATTAAGACCGCTCCTCTCTATCTCCAGCAAGAGACAAATAATAATCAAATGTAGTTATATAGCTACAACAGGCCATCGAATGTTAAATACAACAATACATTCATGTTAAAGGGGATAAAAAAACAACACATAACACTGTTGTATATTTTGAGGAAAAAAGATAAAATGGTGCACTTATTAGTGCAGGAAGGAACAAGACAATCTCTAAAAATAAACTTATTTTTATTTTACTATATCTGCAATATACTGGAATATATAGGAGTAAACTCGAGCCATGCATTGACAACACTGACCCCACTCTAGGTCAGCAGTGAGCACAATGTGAGCTCTTTGTTCTAGTGCACCGAAAGAGCCTGTTTAACAGACATAAGTGGTTGGCAGTGGAAAGCGAAGGTTACAAAAGCTAATCATATTTCAGTGTTAGCTCCTATTTATTCATTCAAGGACATTGTGCTCCACAAAAAAACATACCAAAAAATAAACAAAACCTGCCATTTATTATAACTATTGTAATTCCCACACCTTTGTCACCATGACGACCACAAAGTTCTTCTCGCTGATTTTGTATTCTTTGAGAGCTGTGTCATCGTTGAGGATTTTACCTGGAAAGAAACAGGGGGAAAAAAGTGTCACAATTCTAGTGACTTTACCTGCGATGAACTCTGAAACAACACGCAGGGATGTAACAATAGATGGTATCATATTTTATCATTCAATAGAGGGTTGTTGAACAGATAAATTGCCTGCTTTTGTCAGCATATCTGGTTCTTTTTGTTATATTGTAAAGCATTGCTTTTGTTTTGTTATGCCTTATGTCTAAGAAGCCACTTCAAGTAGGTCACACAAAACCCCAGTGTCTAAAACGCTACAATATGCTAATACATATACACAGTGCCTATAAAATGCATCCAGCCTCACTTGGAGTTTGTCATGTTTTATTGTTTTAAAACACAAAGTCCAGTGGTGTAATTGGAAATATTTAACACTGACAAAATTCCCAAGCTGCAACCTAAAGTTATCTGGCTCACTTCTTAATTAGTCCGACAGGCAGACGTGTTCTTCGGCAGGTTTCTTGCTATAAGCAACAGGAGATTAAAACCACTGGAGAAAACCAGCTCTTACTGTAGCTTTAATGCATCTACTTTACCTTCTAAACAGAAAAGACTTTGCAGGCCTTCGCCAACTGTTAGTGCTCTTAAGCACTGCATTTTTACATTTTTATAACAAATCTTGTGTGTGTACATTTGCAAAACACAGCACCATCTATAATAGATCAACATTTGCAATTACGCAAATAATTGCGCAATTAAGTTCTATAACAAAAGAATTACATAACATGGGAACCAAACAGTTGAAACTGGTGTCTCTATTAAGGCCATCTAAAAGCTCAAACCTTGATTCAACTGTAAACCAAAGAAAAGCCCTATGATATGACTCACAAGCTGCGACAGACAACAACAAAAACTAAATCTAATAATTACGTTTTTCTGATCCTTTTTAAGGGCTTAATTACAGCAGTTTTGCTTGTAAACACAAGAGTAGAACAACCAAATAAAAATGCATTTCCAATAACAACAAGTTATGAATAGGGATGAGCTTCTGAGCTAATCAAAGGGGATGGAGGGGGATCCAGGCAGGATTTGATTGATTTAACCTGGGTTATTATAAGTCCTGATCCATTTTTGATTGCGAGATGCTGTCTAACATGACAAACTGTCCTCCATTAAAACACTGGAACCGCACAGCAGTGAAAGCAATGTAACCGTGACTGAACCGCCAAGGGACTAAACAGCAGCCAGCAGTATCAATTATATATCAGCGTGCAGCAGCAAGAGATGCGAGCTAATCTAGAGTTAAGAAAAACAACTGAGATTTCTGCAATACTCCGGGGGTATACCACACCTTTAAAAGTGCTTTTACTGGTACAAAATTGCATTTCAACTCCTGTATATTTTCATGCTCGGTTACGAAGAGAAGCTATCAAACATTGTTCAACTTTTTTGCCGCAATGGTTGATAAAGTCCCTTTCCCCTCCCCATTTATCAAATACAATATGTAAAAGGGATATGCTACAAAATATTACAACAAACCTGAAAGAACAACTGTCGGACAGGCGATACCTTCTTAATGCGGACCAACTGAGCGGCTGAACATTTGAAATATTTTAATAATCTTGATGTAGCCCCACTACAGGCTTTAAGGGCATTGTGAATCAAATCTACTTGCTTGGTCAGATCCATGTTGCCTTTATTGACACGTTTAGGCTCCCTGTGACGGTACAGAATACAACACACAGACAAGATGAAGGCAAGCTGTCGAATGCAGCTTGAAAACACACATCTACATCCATTCCTCCAGGTGACAGCTTGCGAACACACTGGATAGTAAGAACACCCAATACATAAACATGAGGCAGCTATTTTGCAGGATTTTTTAAACTATTGAGCACCTGGAGACTGTCGGTGCATAGGAAAGTGAGGAGGAATAAGATACTATAAGAAAGGTTAAAACAGCCTGTAACATACCAGCATATATCAATTTCAGTCCTGAAACTGAAAAATGGTCCTTTCCTTTCTCCTCTTCAATCTTCTCCTTTAACGTCTTCACCTGTGGAAAAGATTATTATGTTATATTACTTTTCTTCACCCTTGTAGAAGACTATAAAATGAAATGAATCAGCTCTTTCACTGACATGTAGCCCTGCCCCAACTAACTATAGCACGAGTTTAAAAAAAAAAAAAACAGTCCAAAGTGTGAACTAAGCTGCTAACACCATCATAAAACTGGAGCTGGGGAGACATGACAGTGCTGGCTCACTGAGGAGGACTATTTACACCAGAAAGCATACTGAAAGCTGGATTTGATTTAAGGAGACGTGACAGACTAGCACAGGTTTATATATAACGTTACCTGAAAGTTCATAAAATGCTGTTTTCATGTGAGTGTAACCAAGTTCACTTTGGTGGATGTGTACTAGTGCAGGCTTATCGAAAGTGAAAGATAAAAAAGAAAAAAGAAAAAAGAAAATTGGTACAGTTTTATTGAAATGTAACAGTGAACATCTGGTCTTAGTCATAGATGTAACGTTACCTCAAATAAAGGCTACAACTATCGTTATACATCAGACAGTGTTTACTAACTGCTACTGCCACGAATATGATGCTAATTTTGATTTAATTGAACAGAAAATAAACGCTGTAAATCTATAACACCTTAATAATTCACAAACCCCGATGCTTAACTCCTCGTCACCCCTCTCCTGAATCGTGAAGTGGGCTACGGCTAAATGCTGACACTGAAAACTAACGTTACTTTCCTCACCGGTATTCAATAAAAACCTCAAAGCCGCGCATCAAACACTGAGCCACATTATCCCGAACAGGTAGTCCACCTAAAATACATCTATCATGTGTACTCAGACCCATCTATCGATCGCCTAATATGAAATGTTTGTTTTTCTAAAAGTGCTCCGCTCCAGGACATAATGTGACCCAACTCCCACTCCACCCCCCTTCACAAATGCATGGCTTCAACTCTCACCGTCTCCTCTTCATCGATGTCGATTTTGAACGTCTGCTGTTGTAAGGTTTTCAAAGTTATCTGCATTTTGCCGTCAGAGTTTGTATCCCCGGGCCTGGTTTAAACGCTGTAGGTCCAACTTAAACGAGTCTTTGCTGTTTTTGTTTGCTCATTACAAACTGTCAGCCGCCATGACTTCGCCTTTCTTCTTCTATGGGTGATTTTTAGGCTACCGCGCCCCTACTGGTCGGGCTTGAAGTTGCAGTGAAAAATGGCCAATTTTCCATTTCATTTAACTCATTTAGTGGATGAAATATTCATCACATCCTTTACTAAATAACAGTCGCAATACCTCAATTTAGAGTCCTGCATTCAACAAGTGAGAATAGACTTATGTTGCAGAAAGCTGATTACATGTTCTTTATTATTTATGTTCCTTATATTATATATATATTAACAGAATAAAAAGTACAATGCTTGGCTTTGAAATGGAGTATAGTAGTGTGAAGTAACAACAAATTGAAATATTCAAGTAAAGCTAAGTACAGTACTCAAGTTAATGTGCCACCATTGCTTTAATTTAACTCAATAATATAAATAATATTAATAATAAATGAAATTCATGAACTTGACAAGAGTCAAATTGAGTGTTTAATTATATGCACTCTGCAGTGTAATTTCTCTACAACACTGCCACCTTTTTTTTTGCCTTTTAGTCCTGTCTACCCTTATGAATTGAATTTTTAAAAAGCAATTAATGATGATTAATACAGTGCATGCTAATGAGGGTAACTTAAAATAGAAGTATAAGAAGAGAAACATAAAAAATAAACACAAACACACAGGGTTGATTCACGGTGTAATAGTGAACATTGTTGTCACCCCAGAGCAACAACTTCGTTACTCAAGCAAATGCATTGCTGGATAATTTGAATTTTTCTTTCACGAATCCTTGACAGATTGAACATCTTATGTTAACTTTTAATTGAAAACATTACTTGCATTTTACCTTTGGATTCGTAAGTTGAATGTTTTTGGTGCTTCTTCATCACGTTCCATCAGAGACTTGACATTGGTGGAATAAACATGCCGCCCTTACTGGACTTGAGAGTAGCATTTTATGCTGTTATCACACGTTTCAACAATCCCAGGTCCTTCAAGCATGGAGGAATTTTAATATCCAGCACTCAGTATTCTAAGGCTTTATTGACTTCTGTCTCACATGCTGCCATGCTGCACAGCTCTGACTTTGAGAGGACTGTTTAGTACAAAAGATAATATGCTGGAGCTCAATGGGGTCTCTTCCCCAGGCCACTTCTCCCTTATTCTCATATCTCCCACTCATTTTCTATGACTCTGTGTATGAGTCTGTTTATCTTTATCTGTCACTCCTCCTAACTGTCTGTTCCTGTCCTTCTGCCACTCTCACTCTTCTTCTATCCCGACTTTCCCTTCTGTCTCTCCACCCAATCCTCTCCCCCTATCTCTCTTTCATCCAGTTATTACGACAGGAGCAGTGCCCTCGCCTGCCTTGGCCTGAGCATGCTCTCATCAGGCATTCCTTATGTTGCTCCACTCAGCAGCAGCAGCAGTGTCCTCCTTTCCCCTCTCTCCACTGTGGCTGTGCCTCTTGCTCCTGTCTCCAGGGGTCGTCAGTCTGCCATCCGCCCCCTCTGAAGTGGTGAGCCACAGAGATTACAGTCTGATCCCTGGTGACTTGGAGATATTTTTAAGAGATGATGTTAGACATGTGAAATAAAGACATAGCCCCTTCTAAAATAGGCAGGAGAGGAAATGCAGAGGACATGTGTGAAATTTAGACCTTCAGTAGAAAGACACTAGAAATAGACTACTCAACATACGTTTTCTTCAGTGAAACCGAGAGAGATGAGAAAATAAAAAGACCAACAGTGAAAAATAAAGTGGAAACATAACTGATTGAACCTGCTGAACTCAGTGACTTGTAGTTCATGTTGCAAGAGCTGCAGTGTTTCGTGTATGTACATTACACATACACAGAAAGACATAACACACACACACAAGGTCTGACATTTGCATGGTTTGTGGTTTTGGTCAGCAGAGCTCTTCCAGGGTGTAGAGTGGGGTAGAGAGTGAGAGAGCAACAGAGGGGTGGAAGGGTGTAACACAAAGTGAAGGCCACTGAGATGCCTTCTCAGCCCGAAGCTATTTCCTGTGGACAAGCGGCTGGGACTATTATTGGTTGTTCCAAGGAAATCCTATGTGTCACTGAAAATGAGAAATGTGTTGCACAAAAGCTAGAATGGATAACCATGAAGATATTTTACAAAACACATGATTAACTTTGGAGGAGGAGTAATTAAATGTGTGAGCTACTGCATTATTAGTGTCACCAGCAAATACTACACACAGGCTGAAGTGGTTCTGGTGTCCATCTTACTGAACTATTGATATGTACTCATAAGACTTACGACAGAGGGGCCATGATTTTAAATATACAGATATACAGTAATACTGTTGCTAATGTCAGTATGCTAACATGCTCACAATGACAATGTTATCATTCTGATATTCAGCAGAAAGAATGTTTACCATGTTCACCATCTTAGTTTTGTGTGTTGGCATGCTAACATTTGTCAATTAGCATTAAACACAAAGTGGAGCCGATTGCATTATTTGACAAATTTAAATTCTGACCTGGTGCTAGATAAAAACTAAGGGGGTCATGAAAGCTATTATATTTCATTCTGAACTTGAATGTCTACTAAATTTCATGGCAATCCATATTTCACTTAAAATCACAATGGTGGTGCTACAGGAAATGTCAGAAGATCACTAAAGTCATTAGAATTTATTGGGAATCATTCATCTGTTGTGCCAATCCATCCAGTGGATGTTGAGATATATCACAGCATAAGTGGAAAAAAAAACATGCTGTAGCTTGCTGTTATTTTAGTAAGATAAGACGAAATAAGGCTGGCTCCAACGGCAAGTCAGGTCTTCCTTATGTGAGGATCCCTTACATGCAAATGTTGCTGCCACAAACTGTAAATGACTGCCTATCTCTTCTTTTTATTTTTAATTTATGATCAAGATGAAGCAGCTATGCCAACCACTTCTTCAGTGTACTTGCATTTTCCTTACTCTTTTGGCATCACTTTTCTCTCGACAGTGAAGCACCACTTACACCTTATTCTCAGTTTTTTTCAGGAAGCTTGCTTACCAGGGAATTTTAATAGTTTGACATCTGTGCTGATATGAATAATTCACTTATCGGAAAACATGGAAAATATAAAAAAGTTATTTTACAAGGTAAAAGTACAGCATGTTCCCACAATTCTACATTTAAATTATCAGATTTCTCAGTATGTTCCCATAAAATCTTAGTGTTAAGCAAGGAGGAAAATACACATTTTAGGATCCTTATTGAATTTATATGATGTGTCTAAACAAAGAAAGAAGAGATAAACACAATTAACCGTTATCTGATAACTTTATTATCAAGTTAAAAAAAGACAATGAATTACAATATTTACAGAATATCCAGAGATAAATGGAATAAAATTGTAAACAATCATTCTAGGCAACATCACAACCCACCATCAGGTAATCAGATTTATATTGGAAGAAAGGCAAGAAGGAGAGATTCTAGTGTCAAACTATGGAGACAACAGTCTGAAAAGAGAAATGCATCAGAAACAAACTAAACATATATACAAGTATCCAGTGTGTTGTCAGCAGGGGAATAACTTTGGGTAAACTGGGAATATTACAGTCTAGAGACTGCACACAGTGAGGGATTCATAGTCATTTTCTATTAAAATGATCACAGAACAACAAACAGTTTTGGGTTGACAGCTTCATTAGCCAGATTGTCCCAATTTATCATCTGGTTTACACTGGGCTTTCAAGCTGGGCAACAAGCTGCCTTACAAAGCTTATTTCTACAACAACAGTTTTACTTTCAAAAAAGCTACAAGCCTGGTCCTGAAAAACAGAAAATGGGCTTTGAGATTGAGCACCAACTCAAATGTTTTTTCAGGTATTAAAAGGACTGAGGAGCATAGTGGGGCTGCTACATTCCCACCTGTTGTTAACTGGGTAGACTATGGGCAGGCCTACTTGGAGCAAGTGACCTGATGCCCTTACTGGTCATGGATAGAAGATACTAGAGTGTCAGATGTCGGATTGGACAGGAGTGAGCTAGATTTCAGAGGGATCTATTAGGCTGACTGGGAACCCAGATGGTGGCCAATCCCAGAAAAGGACCAAGTAGTTTAGGTAAATGCCCCCAAAGGAACTTTTTTTTTCTTGTCTCTTACTCTGCCATGTTTTTCTCCTTCACAATAAAAGCCCTGACCTTTAATTAGTACAGAACTGCATCATTTTCCTTCACATGTTTAAAATATTGTACAACCACACTGCTCTTCCTATGTGCTCATTCCCATTACAGTACAAAAAAGGAGATATTTTTCATTGTAACCAGACATTGTACAACAGTGTAATAATGTTGGATTGGGGACTCAAAAAGCCCCTAAGGGTTAGCTATCATCTTTAGATTTCTTTTTTTCTTCTTTTTTTAAATGAGAACACCTAAAGGAAAAAGGGTTAAAGTATCCTTTCTGAAACACCACAGTTCAAACACTTAACAAGTAGTTTTGTTTTCTATACATGGCTGCAAACATGTAGTTCACCTGGGTTCCACCCATAGAACTCTACTTCCAAAATTCTATGGTCCAAACCCAGATTACCCATTTCCATCAATGGTTCAATGCTCAGGAAGGACAATCACAGCAGCAAACACAGCAGGCTTGGTAAATATTTTGGTACCAAGAACACAATTCCATTAATTGTGCTCCTATACTAATTTGATATTGTAGTTTTTAGCCATATTATTTCAGACAGTTTAACGTTGCTCATTGGTCTTATTGGTATTGGACATAAATTTGACTTAATTGCTATTTTTCATCTTATAAGGCTTTAGGGCATTCAAGCAGCAACTTCCAACAAATACAATCTCTGCCTTTTGTCAGTATCAACAATAACGTGACAATTTTGTCTAAAAAGAAGCACAAAAATGCAGATTGTGTCAATATTGGATGAGAATTTAAAGGGGTAAAGTTGGGGGATTTGACACCTTTAAAAAGTCAATCTTCAACATACAGGCCCAGTGGCAAATATGCTATGTGGAAACAAATGGTTTTTGGGGCTTTCTGAGCTGGTTGCACTTGTCTTTTCAGTGT